CTGCTAAAGGGAAGTGGAGGATAGGCCTCTGTAAGTGTTTCAGGAGAGGCTTGATGGAGATGTGTCAATTTGGCATGTGGATTATTTCAAAGTAAGATTAATAAAGACCCTGCAGGTTCTCATAGGGAAACCTTTACCACTCCCTTAACTATCTTGAAAAATGAAAATTGAGACTATTATTCAGAATTAGGCTTTTTACAGAAAGAACCCTTCGATGGTAGAAACCTATCTACAAGGCAGGGCAAACATCTAATTCAAAAATCTGGTCTTTGTCATGTGAGTCACCCAGGCCTCATAATGTGAGTTCCCTTCCTCTCCTTGAAGGCCCTGGCCTCTATCTTATTCCTTAGCGAAGGACATAGACCCTCATTTGCCCCAACTGACCCTGGAATTCACATCCACTTAAATTCTCCATATGGGGGCCTCCCCAGTGGCTCAGCAGCTGAGTGCTGGGTTGCGAAGCTGCCCGCAGTCTCTGCAGTGCCAGTTTGATTCCCGGCCGCAGGGCGAGGGTCCCACATGGTGCTCAGACCTCTCCTGCTGCCCGCTGCTCCCCTCAGCAGTGTATTTCGTCAGTCTGCCTGCTCTGCTCCCTGCTCTGGCTCTGGTGAATTCTCTCACCCTCCCGCGCTTCTGACTGTACCCAGTACTTGTATAAATAAATAAATAAATCTTTAAAAAAGAAATTCTCCATATGCATGTAACTCAATTTTGTTTTTTTCCTACTGATGTATCTGACATTACTTTGTTGTTCAGCCAGTCTAAAAGAACCCAAAGGGGTAGGGAGAAACTTCCTCTCTTCCCCTACAGAAAGTTGTGATTCCTCTACCACGTAACATGAAACCTATAGTGAACTAAATAACTAAAGCCACAAAACCTTACAGGCCTAGCTCCACTACTGACTAGATTGTCTCAAATTGTCTCACTAATGGTGAGCCAGATAACAAAAGTCTGTCCTTTCTCTAGAGATGATTGCTGTTTTCTTCAGACTCTACTATTCCTTTATAACTGATGATGTCTGAATTTAATCTTAATCAAAATCAAATTATAAAACACAGAAAAAGTAAGAAAACTAATATTTCCTCAAAGAGAAAACAGTAAATGAAACCTTCCCTAAAGAATAAAATTGTTGTTGGAATTATAAGGCAGACACTTTAAAACAATGTTTATAAATATTTAAGATGAAAGAAATAGAATAAGTGAACATGTTTGGACAATTTCAGAGTCAAATGCAAATGCTAGAAATGAAAGATATATTACAGATAAATAATACTGTCAATGAGTTTATTATGTTGCATACAGCAGAGGAAGGAATCAGTGTCACTGAAAACAGACAATGTGATTTTAAAACATATTTGCGTTCAAGATAAACACGCTAATAAATACATAACTTGATTTCCAGGAGAAATACTTTAATGGCCCAGAACATATGAAAGCCATTGACCCAAGATTCAATAGACTCAGAAACCTAAAGAAGAATAAATACAAAGAAATACCAAAATTATACATCACTGTCTAACTGCTTAAAATCAAACATAAAGAGAAAAATCTTAAAAGCCACAAGGGAAACAAAACATATTCCAGAAAGGAGAAAAACAATAGAAATTATATCTCCTCATTGGAATCAATAGAGACCAGAAGACATGGCCATGACAACCCTAAATTGTTAAACAGAAAAACATATTAGTCTAGAATTCTAGAACTAGTTAAATTATCTTTCAAAAATAAAGATATTTCCCCAAGGAAAAGGTGAAAGAAATTGTCTTAAATAGACTTCGATAAGGAATACTAAAATGCATTAGTTCAAGGAATGCTAAAGGAACACTAAAATGTTTAGTTCAAAAAGAAAAATACAAAGTAGAGACCCAGTTATTTGGGAAGGTATGAAGAACACTGGAAAGAGAAAAGACATATCAGTAGATATAAGTAACAAACACATACACACACAAATACATACATTTTAAAGACTATTAATCTTATAAGGTAAAAATAGTAACAAGGTAATGTTAAGTTGCACCATATTTAGAAATTAAAAAAAATGTGCGGCAAGACAGTGCACAGGGGAAGAGAGAGTGATAATTAAGATATGCTATTTTAATATCCTTACATTGTAAAGTAACAGAATTTTGTTATTATATACATATGGCAAGTTAGAGATGTATAATGTAATTTTAAATCAACCACTAAGAACATAACATAAAATGATATAACTAAAGATAATACCTAACAGAAAATAAAAATAAAAGTGATTACCTAAAAATACTTAATTAACAATAAAAAGGGAGGAACAAAGAAAGAGCAAATGCAACAATTAAAATCAAATATCAGCATTGTAGTTTAAAACCCACATATACTAATAATAACTAGTAATAACTAAAAAAAGAAATTAAAAGATGCAGACTCAGACTGGCTAAAGAATGCAACATCACAGTAGATGTTTTTGAGAAGTAACACTCTTTAAACATCGCGACAACAGAAAAGGGGGCCTCCCTGGTGGCGCAGGGGTTAAAGACACGCACTATCACGCTCTCCCCAACCACTGCAGCATGAGTTCTACCCTCAGCCAGCCAGGGCGCAACCCACATGGCACAGCAGACCTCTCCTGTCTCGCCGACTTCTCCCCTCAGCAGTGTATTTCAGTAGATCTTCCTGTTCTGCTCCCCACTCTCTCTGGTGAATCATCTTACCCCCCCCCCCCCTCGCAACTCTTGTCTACACCCCAGTTCTTGTGTGCATAAATAAATAAATCTTAAAAAAAAAAAAGACAACAGAAAAACTGATCAGCACGGGAGTTTTGACCTGCTCCGTTTCCGACCTGGGCCGGTTCACCCCTCCTTAGGCAACTTGGTGGTCCCCCGCTCCCGGGAGGTCACCATATTGATGCCGAACTTAGTGCGGACACCCGATCAGCATGGCGCACTGCAGCCCAGAACTCCTGGGCTCAAGCGATCCTCCAGCCTCAGCCTCCTGAGTAGCTGGGACTACAGGCGCGCGCCACCACGCCCGGCATACAACAAAAAAATTGAAAATGAAAGAATGGAAAATATATAGCATTGAAATACTAATCATAAAACATCTTCCATTACCATATTTTATAATAGAAGTAGACTTCAAAGAGTATTACCAAGATAGGCATTTCATAATGATAAAAGGGTTGTCATCAAGAAATCTTAAAAATTTTAAAGCTGTCATATTACTAGTTCTCTTATGAACTAATAAAAAGTATAGACAGATCCAAATTATTGTTGCAGATTTTAGCACCTATCTCTCAGCAATTGATAACAAGACAAAAATTTGACAAAGACATCGGAGATATAAATCAACTTAGTTGAAAGTTATAGAACACTACACCCAAGAACAGAAAAGAACTGTACTATCTTCTCATGTGCACTTGAAAAATTCACCAAGGTAGACTATATTCTGAGACATAAAACAAGTCTCAGTAAATGTCAAAAGTCAAAATCATACAAACAAAGCATGTTCTTAGGCTGTAACAGTATTAGATTAGAAATCATTAACAAAATATTACAATAGAATTTTCTGTAATGATGAAAAGGTTCTATATCTCTACTGCCCAAATATGGTACCCATTATCCACATATGACTTTTAAGCAATTAATATTTGGCTAGAATGGTTTAGCCACAGAATTTTAATTTAAATTCATTTAAATAAATAAATTAAATATCCACAATTGACCACTGAATATCATATTGGACAGTTCAAATCCATTAAATCTCCAAATATTCAGAAATTTAAAGACACATTTTTAATACACTTAATACACAAAACCATATTATCTTGGGTCAAACAAATCACAAGCAAAACTAGAAAATATTTTGAACAAACTCATAATAAAACACACGATGTCAAATTTCATGGAATACACATAAAGCAGTTCTCAGAGGTACTTCATAATTTGAAGACTTGTAGTTATTATCTAACTTCTCTGAACCTCCATTCTGATTTCTTAATGGGGAAAATAATGCTACCTACCTAGATACTTTTGTAGGAATTAGATGAGAAAATCTTGCATTGTTTGTGATTATAAAGTGCTATTACTTTAAGACACACCTAATAAAGATAAGATATCCAAAAAAGCATATTTAGGAACAAAATATCACCCACGTTTGAATTATTATCTCGCCATTACCTAGCTGGGTGACTGTGGATACTTTGCATAAGGTCACCTGACCTAAGTTCAAAAAAAAAGATAAAAACAAAAGCAAGGTAATTTTAAAGTAATTTTCAAACTCTAATTTTTAAGAACTATGAAAGTGTGACATTTCCTTTGTAATGTCTACATGACTACAAAGTGCACTGCATTATCATCACCAGGATTCCCTTCTTTCCTGTGGGATCAGGAAGGAGAATGGTGGAACCATCTCCTGACAAACACTGCACTCACTTCTTCACACGCATCATTCCATTTCCTCCTCACACTCCTCCTGGGGGGCTGGTATTTTAAGAAAAGTGTTACTGAAGAGTCTGAGGTTCAGAGAAATAAAATGATTTGCCTAAGTCTGCACAGTTACACAAGAAGGGGCAGTTCTCAAATTTCTCTCTCTCTCTCTCTCTCTCTCTAACTTCCTATTCACCCTCGAAAGTGACCTCGAGGACCCGCCAAGCTCACCAGGGAGCAGGACCCAGGGAGTCTCTGCCCAGAAGTGGACACGCCCGTCCAGTCACCCGCATCCCCGCGGGGAGTGTCCGGGCCTCGCGCGTCCCCGTCTGTCTCGGGCCCAGGCCCGGGGACTCGCGCTGGGCGGGGCGGGGACGCGAGAACCACGAGGAGCCGCGACCCGCCCCGGGTGACCGCGAAGACGGTCACGAGCACCAGCGCGGGCGCGACACACAGAGACGGGAACAGGGGTTTTCTCTGAGAGAACGTGTGATGTCCCCCAAGGACACCTTCTGTTGGGACAAATGTTTTCTTTCTCAAGATTTATTTATTTACACACGCAAGAACTGGGCAACCCGCCGCCCCGGCGAGGTTCATTACCGGCTCCAGCAGCCCCGTTGGTGTCGTCAAGCTCTCCGCGCTCAGCCGTCGCCGCGCTCCTTCCGCTCGGCCACTCCAGCCCCTCCTCCGGCCTCGGCACCGCACCACACTGCGCTGCGCTGCGCCGCGCCACGCACGCCAGGCCACGCACGCCAGGCCACATGGCGCGCCACGCCGTTTGGCCTAGTGCGCATGCACAGTGGGAGGGCAGAAAAGCCCGAAGCTTTCCCCCCTGCTTACCCCCACACCCCTTCAGATGCATGTTGTTATTCCACACCAACCACCAAAGCACCCACAACCCTCCACCAGTCCATTGTGGTTCCCCCTTTTTCTCCCCCAACACCCCCTCTGATAACCTCAATTCTATAGGAGGATTTCTAGGGTTTGATTTAACTGTGTCTGTTCCTTTGTTTTGATGTTCCATATTTGAGTATAATCATCCAGTATTTGTCTTTCTCCAACTTACTTCACTTAGTGTAATCCCCTCCAGTTCCATCAGTTCCCTCCATGTTGTTGCAAATGGCATGACTTCATTTTTTTGTGTAGTTGAACAGTATTTCATTGTGTAAATTTACCATAAATTCTTTATTCACCCATCAGTCCTCGGGAACTTAGACTACTTCCACAACTCAGCTGTTATAAATAGTGCCACAATTAGCATAGGAATTCATCTATCTCTTTAAGTGAGTGTTTTTGCGTTTTGGTAAATAGATACTTAGGAATGGAATTGCCAGACCATATGGAAGATGTATTTTACTTTTTTGAGAAACCTCCATACTGTTCCCATAAAGGCTGAACCAGTGTACTGTCCCACGAACAGTATATGAGGGTTTCTTTTTCTCCTCATCAATATTGTTGTTTCTGATATTTTTGTTATGGGCCATTCTCACAGGTGTGAGTTGGGTGATATCCTGCCAAAGCAATCCAAACCAAAAAGAACAGAAGAATTACACTACTAGACTTCAGACTATACCACAAAGCTATAATAATAAAAATAGTGTGGTAACTGAATAAAACAGACAAGTAGACCACTGGAATACAATTAAACACCCAGAAATAAACCCATGCTTATACAGACAAGTAATCTTCAACAAAAGAGCCAAGACTATATATACATTGAGAAAAGGAAAGTCCCTTCAATAAATGACACTGGGAAAAGTGGACAACCAAATGCACAAAAATTAAACTGGACCACTGTTTCACACCATACACAAAAATAAACTCAAAATGTATTAAAGACATGAATGTAAGACCGACCTTAAGTCATAAAGTACATAGAAGAAAAACATAGACAAAACACTCCACAATATTGGCTTCAAGGATGTTTTGGGGGACTTGACTCCAAAGGCAAGGTAAACAAAAGCAAAATAAACAAATGGTGGGCCTCCCCTGTGGCGCAGAGGTTGAGCGCTGGTTGCGAAGCTGCCCGCAGTCTCTGCAGCGCTGGTTCGATCCCCGGCTGCTCCCCGGTCACTGGAGGAGGGTCCCACAGGGCGCGCAGACCTCTCCTGCCGCCCGCTGCTCCCCTCAGCAGTGTACCTCGGTCCTTCTGCCTGCTATGCTCCCCACTCTGGCTCTGGTGAATTCTCTCACCCTCCCGCGCTTCTGACTGTACCCAGTGCTTGTATAAATAAATAAACAAATCTTTAAAAATAAATAAATAAAATACATCATTCATAGATTTAAAAATAAATAAATAAATAAACAAATGGCAATATAACAAACTAAAAGCTTCTGCACAGTGAGTTAAATATCGCTAAAATAAACTATCATTAAAATAAAAGATATCTACTGAGGGGAAGAAAGTATTTGTACATCACACATTCTACAAGGGATTGATATCAAAATCTGCACAAAATCTACAAAGAACTCATACAACTTAGCAAAAGGAAAGCAAATAACCTAATCAAAAAATGGGCAGGAGAACAAAATAGACACTTCTCCAATTAAGACATGCAGATGGCGAACAGACACAGGGGGAAAATGTGGAGGAGTGAGGGTGCCTAGTGGTGGGTGTGGTGTGGTAAAATATACCTAAAGAGGTGTAAACCTATACCTCTGAATCATAGACAGTGTTGTGAACCAATGTTATCTCAGTGGAAGACAAAACATTGGTTTTTGTTCTCATTCAGTGAAAATACAAAAATATGAGATAGCAAAAGAAGACATCAAAGGAAAAGAATATTCATTGTCGGGCCTCCCCGATGGCGCAGCGGTTGAGCTCTGGGTTGCGAGGCTGCCTGCGGCCTCTGCGGCGCTGGTTCGATCCCTGGCTGCTCCCCGGCCACCAGAGGAGGGTCCCACATGGTGTGCAGACCTCTCCTGCCGCCCACTGCTCCCCTCAGCAGTGTATTTCAGTCCTTCTGCCTGCTCTGCTCCCCGCTTTGGCTCTGGTGAATTCTCTCACCCTCCCGCGCTTCTGACTGTACCCAGTGCATGTGTAAACAAAACAAACAAATAAATAAATAAAACATGCCTCTATTAAAAAAAAAATAATAATAAAAAAAAATAATAATAAAAAAAAAAAAAAAAAAGAATATTCATTGTCACTTATCATCAGGAAATGCAAATCAAAACTGTAATAAAAGTTCTTGGAATTATCATTGGATTACAATACCATATAGATTTTTTGAACAATTTTCCACACCTTGATATGAAGATGCCTCACCATACCCACTAACAAAGTCCTAGAGCAAGTCTAAATAATTTGAGTCTATAAATATTTCTAAAGCATTTTTGAGACACTATTTTCTCAGTACCTTCTATTGTATACTTAAAAAAGGAATTTTTATGAAATAAATTTAAGACAAAACAGTGCTACCTTGCCTAACAAAAGTAGTTACCTTGTCTTCATTTGATTACTTTTTAAATAGTGACCACTTTGGCAACAGCAATAGTCATCTGCTTGAGAACAAATATTATCCACATGTATGAGCATGTATCTCAAACACATATTGCAGCATATCTCTGATGACTCACTTCATTTGTGTTTCACAAACATCTTAAAATGCTTCTGAGGTCCTTAGCTTCTGGGTGAAGTCAAACTACATGGACAGTTCATTTACTGCATCCAGCTGTAAGGCACCAAATACTAGCATTTGTCCTAAGCATTAATTTTGAAAAGAAATTTTACAAATTGCAAAAACATTTCCCTTTTGTATAGGAGTGAATAAATGATTTAACTTAATTTCACTTTTACTTTGATTTCAAATCCTTCTTACATGCTTTCATTAAATAACTTAATTTTATCCAAATGAGAACAGTTCTTCTTACTCCATCTTTGTAACCCTCATAAGCATGTGTTCTTTTGTTAGGCCTACTCAGCCGCCTGGTCCTCAATATTTAACTGGAAAAGAATCTCCAGCATTTGTCATTAACTGTTAGTCTCTCTGCATCTGGTTTAGCTATGATCTTTGTATATTTATGTATAGTCTTTTAAGCAGACATTTTAAAAAGAAAAAAAAAATGTAGGACAAACGAAGAAAAGAGAATGAGGAAATTAAGCAAAAATCTTGTACTGTAGCAGAGTTTTTATAGTGTCTGGTAAAAAAATTGGGTTTAAAATTAAATTGATAATTACAGAGTTTCTCTAAGCTAAAATATATTTTTAATGTTTCTATAAATTTTTGAGATGCTGGCAGTCAGGGAAGGGAATCTTACATCCAGAATGGATGTCAATTCTTGAGAACAAATTACTATCAATAACAGGGTAAACTGGGTGAAGAAATGCACCTATTACCATGTAGCTGTCTGGTCTACTAAGTGATGTTATCACAGCAAGAGCTTGGCTGTGATTTCTTTCACTGGAAATCTGGGCATTCATGAGTGACAGTGACTGATGAATCACCCATGATGAGAAGAAACTCATGCTACTGGACTCAGGTATGATCAAATCACTCTTGATCTCAATTTTTATGACTTTCAGGGACTGTTGAATCAGCCCTGGGGTGACCAAGGAGACCGGTTCACTGTTGTCCACACAAAGGGAACATTCTCTGTGGTAGGTGCTCTCTGAGTACTCACATGAGACACAAAGATCTTACACCCTGTGTCCACTCCCAAGGACAAAAATGCCTCAATTCCTAACTTCCTTTGACGTTCACCTTCTCATCTTGCTCCTTTTCAGCACTGAATCATTCAGAAAGTCACAAACCACTGCCAGGAGTCTATTTTATAGCCATAACGGAGGGAGGTCAACATTGCCACCATTCAAATTAAGTCATCAGGGCACTGTCTGCAACTCTTGCCACTCCTCACTGTCTCATTGGGCGCTCCTGGGTGAGGCTATTTAATGAAATTGTAGCCCTGGATATCCCATTACATCTCTAATCTTAATATCTTCCTCCTAAAACATATGTTCTTATAAATGGATGTCCTAACATGGACTGATATAGACATTAATAATGATTTCTTGATTATACTTATGTAATGACATATGGCTGATTTGATAGATATTGCTCATTGCAAAACCCTACCGATTAACTTAAATTGAGCATCCCCATTTTTTTTTTTCTTTCTGCAGAGAAGAACTAGAGTGTAGGCTTGAAGGATGGGAATAAGAGGATTCACCGGAGACAGAGTGGGAAGCAGAACAGGTAGATTTACTGAAAGACACTGCTAAGGGGAGCATCTGGTGAGATATGAAAAGTCTGCTGAGCCCTAGGAGGGTCAGCTCCCTGGCCTGGGCTAGACTAAGGCCTCAGTGGTAACAGCACTGAGATTTCACCCGCGGGACACCAGGGAGGCCCAACAAACCAAATTTGCATTACACCTACCATGTGTGCTACCTCTATTGTGTACTTGGGAAGATCCCAGGTCACCACTGATTTGGTTCCTTCTCTGTAAAACGCCCAGGTAGAATTCAGAATAGAGTCAACAGGCATGTGAGGGAATCAGGGACTGAGGGGCCTGGGAAGTGAGTGGTTTGACTAAAGGGTTTACACTGGGTTGTAGATCTTCTGCAAGGCCATAGTGAGAAGGAGGCCAGCACTATGACAGAACTGGACTCAGAAGGAGTAAAAAAACTTGGGTGATACAAAACAAACTTTATTAGTATTTCCATAATGAACAAGAAATCCTGGAGGAAATAAAACGAAAACAACTTGAAATCAATTAGGAAACAAAGATTTGAACTACAAGAGGAGGGCCAGGTGTCTGTGGGTGCAGGGTTAGTAGAAGTTAAACGAGGATATGTGGCTAGGGAGGTGGGTGAGGAGAGGTTTGGGTCAGCGGTGCTTAGTCAGCACCAGAGGTGGACAGGCAGTTCAGGGGTCAGGCATGGGACCCTGGAGGAATGGCATCAGGTGAGCACCCTCTGCTTGTGCTGCAGGATCCCTGCAGGGGCTGGTTCCCCAGGCAGGGCTGCTGTGGCTTAGCACCCTCACTTGAACCTGCAGGATGTTGGCCAGAAGTGGCTTCCTCCCACAGGCGTGGTTTGAGCTCAGGACGCTCTTGCATAGGCAGCATTCTCCTGACCAGGGCCTGGCTGTCCCGCAGGGGTGGAGTGAGCTCAGCACTGTCCCCATAGGGTTAGGTATCCTGGTCATTGTCTGGTTCCTCCCGCAGCACTCCTCTTATCTCAGAATCCTCAAAGAAGTCTTCGGGATCCTGCACCAGTCTTGGCTTCCCCAGAAAGGGCGGGTGTGAACTGCCCACACTGGGCAGCTCCTGAAGCATCCTGGCCTCTACCTGTCTCCCACAGTGGGGCTGGTGTAAACACACCACTGCCAGCTGCCCTGCTGGGGCCTGGCTAGGGCCTGGCTCCCCGCAAACAGGTGGTGTTCGCTTGTGCCCAGCAGGTTGTCCCACAGTTTAAGGTCCTGGCCTGGTTTCCCCAGCAGGGCTGGTATTAGCTCAGCAGCCTGGAGACATCCTGCTGGAATCTGGGGAGTTTCAGGCTGACTATTCAGGGGTCACAAAGCTCAGAGTGCCCAGGACGCCTACAGCATCCTGGGCATTATCTGTCTGACCCAGCAGGCCTGCTGGGCTCTCCTGTTGCTCTGGAACAGCATATGCAGGAACGGCTTCTCCTGGCCCTTCCGGACCCCTAGTGTCTGCTTGTCTCCAATCAGCAACTTGGCTGGTCTCCTGGCCTGTCCCATGGGCAGCAGGGGAGCCTGGCTGTGCTCCTTGAGAAGGGGCTAAGGATGCAAGAGGACAGGCCATCAGCCACATGCCAGATTGCCACTTGCCTTTGCAAACAGACCACATGCTAGAGCCCTGAGCAGAGACCAGCCTAAGATAGGGGGCCCCTGGGATTCTGTTCCCCAAATTCGGCAGCTACAGATGCCAGGTCATACTGCTCGTGGTCTGAATCTAGCCCGTGTGGTCTCCTCCAAGGGGCACCTGACCCTACCCCGCCCAGTCGGGCCCATGCACCATCCTGTGCCACTTACCCTCAGACAGCTCCTCCAGGGGCTTTGTGAACTCCAGCCAGTTCCTTTGGACATGTGCCCCAATCTCAAATTGCGGGTGCACTTCAACCTGGGCTCTGTGCTGGGACAGATCCTACACTGGGCTGTGGGAGGACAGTCGGGGAAATGCACTCTATGGATCTCTTCACCTTCCTGGACACAGAACACCCTCTGGGAGCAAACAGACACACCTGCTGGGTAGCAACCAGCTGGGGCAAGAGGGAGCAGCCATGACTCTCTGGGTCCCACCACCAGCCAGGCTGGTTCTGGTGTAGACATGACCTGCCTCCTGGGTGGGCCAGACCCTCCTTACTTGAGCACGCACACGCTCACTCTCACCGCTCGCACATCCACACTCACAGAGGGAAGGGAGGAGTGGGGGCATCAGAGCCCTGGCGTGGCCTGACCTGTCCCAAGGGCCCCCCTAGTTTCCTCAGGGGCAGTGCTGGTGCTGGCCAGAGACGTCGACAGAGGCTCCTCATGCCTTTCAGCAGAGTGCGACACGAGTTTCAGGGAAATTTTTTGGGTCCACTGCAGGGAGACCTGGGCAAACAGCAAGAAAACATGGTGCTGGGTTCAGGCCCACCAGGCAAGTGAGCTGGGTCAGGTTTGGTTCAGAACCAACTGCCTGGGGACCAGGGTTCCGAGGTCATGTGTGCCCTGTCATCTTTTGGAGGTGATGTTACTTCCTGGGTCCCCTTCCCTGGACTTCCTGCTCAGACAGATGCCCCCCCCATCCCATGGCTGCCTGGGCCACTTCCTCTTCACCCTCCATGCCAGGCCCAGCCCACAACACTGACAGCAGCACAGCCTCCCTGAGCCCTTGGATGGCGAGACATGGTGAGATGTAGCCAGGGCCCCTGCTGGGCACTCTGGTCTCTGGCTGCTGACCTGGCTCATCCTCCCTGCCAGGGAGCAGGCCCTGCAGCATCGGCAACTCCAGGCTCCTGTCTCCCATGGGCCCAGAGGAGCTCCAGAGTGTGGAGCCTCTCCCAGGGCGGTCCTGGGGAGTGGGTCACTCCTGTCTACTGCCCTTGGAGGGGAGGCTGGTGTCAGGCTCACAGCACTTGGAGGGTCCCACCCGGGGAAGGCACCTGCATACGCCTCACCCAGGCCTGGCCAGCCCTGCTGGGGGCAGAGTCATCTCCCACCTGGGGTGCCTGTCCTCCCACCCAGTGTGCCTGTCAGCCCTGCTCCTCTCTGGCCGTGCCCTACAGGGCCTTGCGGGCCCAGTCAAGGTGCCAGGGCCATAGACAGTGCACACCTGCCGGCCACAGATTTCTCAGGGCCCCCTGCCTGCTCACACACCTGCTCACTTGCCTGGAGGTTGTATCGACTTGGGACTGGGTTCTGACTAGGACGAGGCCACCCAGGGCATGGGGTGTCCACTCCAACAGGGAGTGATGCCAGCGAAGCCTCTTCTGTCTCCTTCCCTGTCCTCACTGGCTGACTCTCCCTTTCTCTTTCTGTATGTCCCTCTGATGTTCTCTCTCCCCCTCTTGGTCTGTCCTCATCTTACTCTCTGTGTGTGTCCCTGTCCCTCTCGGCCTCTCTGTCCCTGCCCCATTTCTGTGTGTCCCTGTCTCAGTCTCTCTCTGATCCCCAGTGTGTGGAGGACCAGAGGGAGGGAGGGAGGAGCACAGGGGACTGCGGTGATGGTGCACGGGTGCCTTGGAGAAGGAAACTCTATGGGGACTACACCTGAGGGGGTGGGGGAAAGCAAATAGTGTTTACAAGTGAAAAGTGAAGTTAAAAAATAAAAAAAGAAGAGTATCAAAAAAGAATACAGTCACGCCTGCAGGATCCTCATCCTGTCTTGGCTTCTCCAGCAGTGGGGGTGTGAACTGTCCACACTGGGCAGCTCCTGAAGCATCCTGGCCTATACCTGTCTCCCGCAGTGGGGCTGTTTTGATCCTGTCTCCTGGAGGCAGCATCAAGTTGGGTTTTGTTTTTGGTACAACCAGTCACTCTGTGTCTTGTCTTTGGTGAGTTCAATTCATTTCCATGAAGGGTGATGACATGATGACTTACTACTGCGCTTTTGTCTTCAGTCAAATCCAGCCAAGAAATGTGTGGTAACTGGAGCGGGTGGTGAGGGCTCCAGGCTCACTGCCTCCTTGGTCCCCTGGTCAGTTTGGAGGATGGTGTCGGTCCAGAGGCCCAGACATTAGCCAGGTGGCTGGGGTTCTGACCTGGGCACTGCCATAACCCCTCAGTCTCCATGTCCTTGTTTCTGAGAGGGTGTGGGGGAGGGGTGTCAGGACAGTATCACTTCCCAGTTCACAGAGTGCTGGGGAGGGATCTCCAAGGTCACATGGAGAAAGTCACTGCTGAGGTCATGTAGTCGGCCTTTCATCAGCTCCCTGAGCCACTTCTGTTCCTGTGCCCACATCTGGCTTTCAAGA